TCAAAAAAAATTACAATCATATAATATTCGGAAATTACAAATTTAGATAGGATAGAAATTGGAAAAAAAATATTGGGGGGAAAATTTGATAATATCTCTTACTGATTCAATCATTGTGACTGTCTTTGATATGCCTTAATTTTTCTCTTTTTTTAGATTTATTTTTGAAAAATATAATTAATATTTTTAAACACGTAAACAATTAAGCAATGCCATCATGAAAAAAATTTTTTTTTTCGAATTTTGAGAGAAAACTTTTGACGCAGCTTTTGTAAGAACTTTGATGAAAAATGAAGCATTGCGTCTTTTTTTTAATATGGGATGATAATTCGTTAATTATTACAAGATAAGTAAATTGTTAATTGAAAGAAGAATGAAATTTAACGTTGGTTATCCGGAAATGGATTCGTATTTTATTAGCTCAAAGTTAAATTCTTAATAAATTAAAATTTATTGAAAAGAAAAACGACCTTGCCGATGAATGTATCGACGGTGCCGAAGGAATCAGCAGCCCAATGCACCAAACCGGATGAAAAATCAGCTGTTAAAATGCCCAAAATTCCAAAGAATAGTACGAAAGGCAGAGTAGATATTTCAAATCGCCATACCAATAAACATACAACAATGAACAATTCCGTAATACCCAATCCGGTTGAAATGATTTCTTGAAATCGCTTTTCTGAAAATTCCAAATTAAATGAAATAAAATGAAATGAGACTATTTGTTATATTATATTTAAATTAAAAATAAAGTGAAATGAAATTATTGATTTATTAAAGTATTGTTCTTTTAGTCCTAATTCCTGTAATAAATCTCATCAAAATAATATAATTCCAATTCTCAAAATTAATTCCATTAAAACAAAAATTAATGATTGAAGACTTCGTGGTGATTACCGCTTATACAACATAAGTATAGTATCATGTATTTACTTTACTTTTAATTCGAGTTTAATAAATAGAATTAATCGCTAAAAAAATAAAAAATAAAAAAATTTGTTTAAATGCTTAATTGAACTGAACAAATGTAATTGCTGTCGCTGTAAACGTATAAATGAGATTGAAAATTATCAGATAATGTCTCTTCTCTTTTCATTAGTAGTTTTTTTCAATCTTTTTTGTATACTATTTCAATTTATTTCTATTTTCCCTTACTCAGTTACTAAAAATTCACCACGACTATAAAGAGCAGCTAATTTCTTCGCACCACTATGATGTGGTCCCCAACGTGGCTTAAAAACACCTTCCGGATTGACATTTTCATTCGGATCATCTTTCGGTATAGCATCTCGTGTACTTATCACCATTACTTCTTGTCCTTTAGCTGATGACTGTTCGGCTGTTCCGTAATTTTCATCCATACAATAAAACTGTAGCAAAATTAAAATGAATAAGCGCAAAATTGAATAATTATATGGTAAATCACAAATTAACTGTAATAGAGAAATTGAATAAAATAAGAAATAAAATTTAAGACTTATAGTCAGTCATCACCATAAATGAGTAAGTCAATGAATTATTTATTAATAATATAAATGCAAATTACTCGAATTTAAAAATTTCTTAATCAAAAAAAAACAAAAAAGCAAACTGTCCCATAATTAATTAAATGAATTGCAAAATTCATCATTTATTGTAAACACATCTCAAATCAAACAAATTTTCTATTTTTGCAACAAAAAGAAAAATAAACAAAACTATCTATCAGTGAATAATAATAATATTTTCAATAAATAAACAAACAATGAATGCATCTTAGTAGTAATATGATCCTAAGCGAGGAAGAGGAAGAGGAGGAAGAGGAAGAGGAGGAAGA